AATCACTCGTCTTTCTGAGTTTGAATCACAGAAAGACGAGTGATTTGTCACCACTGGTGATTTTATCACAGAAGCAGGGACGGTAATCACGTCCGTGCAACTCGTTTGCCTTTTTTTTATTCCCCATATAAACTCATCAATAATATTTTTTTCCCGCGATATGCCATAGGCGTTATGAGATGCTTGAACATTGCTGGGTGTCTGGTGAAGCAGATAAATAATTGAATGCAGTCTGAAGTTTGGAAGCAACGTGCCCAGACTGCAAAGCAAGGCGCGGGGTCCTATGCACCCTAAACCGATGCAAACGATAAGGTTCGGGTGGGGGCGGGATGGGGCTAATGATTTTTTTCTTTTTCTTTTTTTGAGCCAATCTCGTTTGTGCACACCCTCCCCCTTTTCACTGCAGCAATTCTTACTGTGATATTTAACTGTCAAATACAATTGAAAAACTGTCTGTCTTAAAATGATTTAAAAAAATTCAAGGTTTCTATGCAACATTCAGTATTACCTTATGCATTGGTTCATTCTTCTACTTAAAATAAGTTTTTTATCGTGTTTTACTGTCATTCAAGCAACTGCACATCACAGAGATGCTATTTTATGTAATAGACCTTAGTCAGGTTAGTTGCCATATTGAATATTTAATATTGAAAATGAGTCACTAAGAGATAGACATACAGTTGTTACAGTGGTATGCACTGTATAAAGGTCCTTGACCATGTAATTATCTCAACTCACAGTTAATGTGAGTTTTTTTTGTACTGAAAGCCCCCCCACCCCCCAAAAAAAAAGTTGTTTTGTGAGCTGAACAAATGCTATGTTGTTAAACAACAGTACAGTCCATTGAATGCACTGTACTTTTGTCCCTTACAGCCTTGTTTTCATTCTTGTTAAAAAATTATGGCGCTTCCTTAACTAAGGTCTATACAGGCAGCCATTAAAATCACATCATTCACTCACCTTCATTATGTCATTCCAAACCTGAATGATTTTATTCTGTGGAACATTAAAGGATATATAAGATTTGACTTTCATTGTACTGACAAAAACCTTGAGGCGTTTTTGTAAAAATTCCTTTTTGTGTTCATGTTTGGGGGCGAACTATTTCTTCAAACACCGCGTTTCTGCGGTTCGCCGGTAGGTGGCGACAGATCTCCCTCTGCCGGTGAGAACGCTGAAGGTCCGCCGCTTGTTCTGCACTGAGGTATGGCCATGTTTTCTAATGAGCGCCGGCACGTTTGCCGCCTGCAAATTCGGTTTATCTGCCCCTCCCACTGCGCACATGCAGGTAAAGCTCAAAATCCCGGAGTCCAATTGGGTTACGAGGAATTTCACACAGGAATTTACATCTGCGTTCATCAGGTATTTAAAGAACGTTGTACCTGCTGATACTCTCGAGAACTTTTTGTGAATTAAACATGATATATCGTCACATAAACTATATATATATATATATATATATATATATATATATGCACAC